TGGGAAATGCTAACATCATGATTATCATTGCTTTCAACCCAAAAGTTCATGTTGCAGAGGAGACAGGGACACAAAACAGTTTAAATGGAATCTATCTGTAAAATCCTAGAACCTGCCTTTGTCTCAGCCTCGCAGCCCACTCTGGGGTGTGGCAACTGTTCGTGCTAGTGAGATTATCTACCTCGAAGATGATGGGAACCAATTACTCTCCTATCACTGGGGAAAGACAAAGAGAAATGGCCTCCGTCTGAAGCTGGAGGGATTCCTTGTTAAGATTCTGAGAGAGTCAAAGATGGTATCTGGCCGAGAATTTTTCTTCTCTAACTTCCGTCTCCCACCCCAAATAGAGGGGTCCAGACGGCAGCAGCAAACGCAGCAGGCTGGAGAGTTTGTCCCGGGCAATCCTGAGCTGACTCTGGCTCTTTCTCCCAAATTCCAAAGAGTTACGCTGATGGCTCAAAGGACAACCCCCACACACCCTGCCAAATGCCACCTCTTTAAGAGAGCCACCTGCAGAAGGAGCAGTGCCCCTCAGTGGATGCCCACAGTCAGGCTGCATTTTGAGGTTGTCAAGAGACGGCAGGGCGTCTGGTTTCTGGGGTGTTTAGTGATGTTCACCTGTTTCCTCAGTGTCCAATAAATTACGAACATTTATTTCCCACAGTCCCAGAGGCTGGAAGCCCAAGGTCAGGGTGCCAGCGTGGCTGGGTTCTAGTGAGGGCCCTCTTCCTGGTTTCTCCACATGGGGGAGAAAAAGAGAGAGAGGGTGCTGGGATTTTTCATCTTTTCATCCCTTTATAAGGGCACCAGACCCATCCTGGAGGCTCCTCCCCTATGACCTCATCCAAACCTAATTACCTCCCATAGACCCCATGCCCAAATACTAACACTTTGGGGATTAAGGCTTCAACATATGAATTTGCAGGGGACACAAGTATTCAGGCCATAACTCCTCCCCTCCTGTAGTCTGCATCTTCTGAGCTTTCCCAGAAGCTGAATTCAGTCTTACTTCTTAGCTTAGACTAATGGGCTCAGTACCAGCCACCCATCAGGACAATGTGGCACTTTCTTTCTGTCCACTGGTGGGCATTCTCCAATTGCTGGGATAACCAAGATAACAGAGAGGAAGCAGAGGCCTGGAAAAGGACAATAAATCCAACTGGTTGTTCCCAGCCACAACTGTACTCCTGGGATCTGCCACAAAAATGTCCTTTCCTCCACACCGAGCGCTTAGATGCTCCTAACAAGGACCATGTACCAGTGCTTCTTCAGTGCATTCAGTGTGATTATGCTGTTACAGAACACCTTAGAAGTGGGTTGGTTTGACTCCATTTGAATCAGATAATTACTTTACAGACAGAAAACATATACTGTTTTAATTTGTCCAGCTTGAGTAAGAATTGCTTTGGGAGTTGTGTGCAGCATGCTATAAAAATAACTCCTTTTAATTATATTTATTTACTTAATGAATCATGCAGATAGTAGGTAAGTGGAGTGTTAAGGCAGCCTGCAGATTTGCCCCAAAGCATCCCATTTACACCATGCCTTATGATTTATAATGTAATTTCAAATCCAGTCTTATCTTATATTTGCAGGGAATTTTTCAAGGTTTTGTGCACCTAGTAAGACACAATGCTGGGTCTCGATTTTGGATCTTCTGGCTTCATGTCTTGTACTCTTTACAAATGCATTGAGAAAATCATACAATGGGGTCAAGAAAGCCTTATTGGAATTCTCGCTCTGACACTTGGTAGCCATGTGCCCTTGGGAAAGTCACTTAACCTTTCTCAGCTACAGTAAATGAAGTCTTCGTGGGTTGCTTAAGATAGGAGACAAGAAACCTGAGACTACTTTGGAATGTGTGAGGTGTAGATCTCAAGCCTTACGTGGAACAGAATACCTGTTAATGCAGAGATTAAATGGGGTCCCCGGAGAGGCTGTAATTATTGTTTTTGTTGCTATTAGCAGGTGCAGTTGACCGCTGCTTCTCGGTATCTATCCCAGACAGAAAAACCACCTGGAAGCAGACCTTCTAGAACTCTCGATCCCACTTACCTGTTCTTTCATCTCCCTCCCCTAGCACTTCTCACCGTCGAACACTCTATACAGTTTCCTTATTTATTGTGAATGTTGTCTGTCTTCCCTCCCACCAGAACGGAAGTTCCAGAAGGGATGGATTTTTGTCTGTTTGGTTCTCTGAGGAATGCCAGGCGGCTACGATTGTGTCCGGTGCACGTTGATCACTTAATAAGCATTTGTTGAAATAATAAATCTTTTTGCTCTGCTGGTCAGTTCAGAGATCGCCTGCATGCATGCAAACGTGGGCTCCCAGGGACAGGGCACAGGAAAAGCACATCAACTTGCAAAGGGACCCTGGGCCTTTCTGTCAGCCAGCTCCTCCTCCCTAGGCTGGAAGTGGGGACAGTCACTGGGCTCCCCAAGAGGCTCAGACCCAGGCTCAGAGCAGGAACACGGGTGAGCTCACTGACTCACGGACGACAGGGTTCAGGTCGTTGACCCGTGTGTAACACAGAGACTTGCTTAAACATTTGCAAGGAGGGTGATTTCAGCTCAAAGCAGTCAGTCACTGTTCTCAAAGAAAAAGGATGCCAGCAGAGCTGGGACTGGAGGCCCTTCCATAATCTACTTTGTGCTGAAATCAAAGCTGTACCAAGGGGACAACTTGTGTCCCGAGCATCCTGGACGTCTTTGGCCTCAGGTAGTGGGAAGGGAAGGCAGGAGGAAGGGAAGGCAGGACGGGGTCAATGTGACTCTATTGTTTCTGTTGGGGGTTTTGACTCTCTCTGTGATGAGTTCAGGGCCCAGCATTCCTGAGAAATTGGGGGCAGGTGGGCTGAGGAGCCTCAAGAAGGGACTACTGACCTCTCTGCTAACAGGACCTAAGAAAGTTCAAGTAACCGATTTGAAAAATAAAAGAAATGCAGCCGTATTTGTGCTCCAAGTTGATTTGGCAGGTTGTGCCCTTTTTTTCACAGTGGTAACAATAAATACATAGTTTCAGTTTGAATATTCTGTCTTCGCTCCCCCAAATTTCTTCTTTAATTGTATATGTATCAGTGTTTTTTTTTTAAAATCAGACACATCCTTGTTTCCTTTCCCAAACCATTACAGAATTTAACACAGAACATCATAGTTCTTTTTACGTGAGAAAGAAATACTACTTATATTTTTAGTTTGCCTCAATTGTCACTACGTTCCTCAAACCTCCTTCACACGTTCGAGTGGTACAGGTATCCCCCGTTTTTTGTTAAGTTCATTTTACGAATACTTCGCTTTCGTGAAAGACCTATATTAGCACCTGTTTTTGTTAACTGAAAAAAAAATCTGAAGAGGATTTTTGTTTTAAAAGGCGAAAAGTGAAAGTTCAGCGTTTCCTTTGCAGGAGCCAGAGGCACAGTGGCCCCGCCAAGCTCCTTCCCTGGAAACTACATGCAGCATGTCAGCACCAAGCCACCGTGGCTCTGGGTTGTGAGCATCTGCGCTTTATCTCGATTTATTTTGTGCATCAGTTAGCAAGATGTGTCCTAAGCTTCTTTGATTTACACCATTTTGGTTAATGAAAGTTTTCATCAGCACAACCTGCTTTCAAAAAGCCGGGGAGACCTGTGTTCGCACACGCATACATACTTGGTATGTTCAGCCATTGCCAGGGCACTGTTTATTTCTTAAATTGAACAAACGAGGTAAAAAAGAGAGGAGATTGACCTTTCCCAGAGAGTGTACCTTAGATCATGCTTTTGAATGGAAAAGATGCTAGAATTCCTTTCCTAAAGTACGTCTACAAAGCTGTTGCCCACAGCACTGAGCGTGTGCTGCCAACGTGGTAATGGCGGTGGAGGGGAGGTGCCGTAAATTGAAAATATGTGTGTTTAAAAATGTGCTCCCCTCACCTCATGACATGTAAGATAGAGAAGTATTTTTTTCCCCAGGAGTGGAAACCATTATTTACCACTTTTTATTTCAGTATCTGGGTCTCCTTCCTTCCTCTTCCCCTTTTGAGTGGTAGTAGGGATGGTGGTGGCGGGGGTGTGTGTGTATGTGTGTGTGTGTGCACGCGTGCGTGAGACAGAGAGAGAGAAATAGACAAAGAGAGAGAGAAAATATGAACTAATGACTCCCAGCCCTCTTAAACCTGCTGATCCCACAGAACGGTCACATCTCTTATTTAAAACAGCCATGATAGATCTGAACAAAAGGTCCAGCAGAGGGAACAGCTATTACCTAGATGACACCAAGCACTTACCAGCCGGGCGCTGGCTTCCAAAGCAGAAAAGCGGGGTCGGGGTGAGGCGGCGGGGAGAGGCAGAGCGGGGCTCCGATGTGCTGGGTCCTCAGGTCCTCCCACCTCCATCAGGTTTTCAGAATCCAAGCACAGGTCAAGAGCTCCATCCCAGCTACACTTCCCACTCTTGCCTCGCTGCAGCCAGACCATTCAAACCTGCATCTCTGAAGGAGACGAGGCAGTATCGCAGAAGCCTTAACTGCCTTCAGGAGCCCAGACTTTTCCAAATATCTTGTTTCAGTCAGACCCTGGGTAGCAAGAGTTAAGCTACAGGAAAATCATTCAGCAAAAGCCAAGTGGAAACTGGTCAAAGGGGGCTCCAAGGAGGAGTGGTGGTCGGAGGAGATGGAAGGGCAAAGTGTGCCCTCTGTGTTTCTAGAATGTTCTCCTCCCCCAGTTTCACAGCACCAAGTCACAGACTAGGATAGCCTCTCATCAGGGAGGAGGGTGAGGCCCCCTTTCTGTTCCTTACTCAGTGTCATTCAACTTCTTTCTCAGCTTAGACTTGTCTTCTGGACCAACTTTAACTCAGCGCTCTGCCTTGGCCTGCCAGTTTTCCTAGCTGGGTTAGGACTCCTGCACCTGCCCTCGAAATGTCCCAGGGTTGCTTGTTCCTGGGGCCTTCCCTGGGCTTTTTGGAAAACCAGGCACTGCATCTTTAAGGACCAACTTAAAGAGAAAAGAAACTTTGTTGTTGTTGTTGTTGAATACATACTGTATTTAACATTTTTTTTTAATCCCAGAGAAGTGAAATGCAACATCTGTTTGAGTTTACATTAACATCCAAAGACTGACGACTCAGAATTTCCTAATGAAAGTCATTTTTAAGGCACTCTGCAGAGCCAGCTTTCGTCTCTTCCTTCGTTGGGTTTTTTTTCCTCCAAACTGTAGCAGAATACCTGGTTTCTCTTTCTTCGAAGTGATACACACATGCTCATGCTTTTAACCTGCTTTTTGTCCTGACGACACCGAAAAACAGCACAATTCCAATCAGGCGACAGGGAAGGAAGGACATACATGTGGGTAGGTGGGTGAGGAGAGCACAGGGAGGGGAGACAAGAACATCCATGAACTGGTGTGGTGGCAGCAGGAAAAACAGGGAGCAGAAGGGAAATGGAACAGGGTGGGGTGGGCCGGATGGCTGGCAGCCCGTGAAAAATAGGCTACATTTCCCAGTGAGGTTTAAATTAATTTAGCTGGTTCCTTTTTTTTTTTAATTTGTAAAGATAGGGCCAATATAAGGGAGGTGTCTCAAAAGGATGGAAATTGTATATAGGTTAGGTGTGCTTGCTTGTGCTCATGCACTGAAGGTTCGACTTTAGCAACAGGTATGATTTGGGGGGGGCTCTTAAACGTTCCCCTCTGAAAAAAAAAATAATCTCCCTTACTGGCCCACTACTGTGCCTGAAATTCCCACCATGAGAGCCACTCCTTTGGATTAAGGCATTATCTGTAGCCCCTATTAAAGCATAAATGTCATCTGGGAGGGGTAACACTCAACTCTTTAGCACCCACTGACTCAACTGTCTGTCACCGATCAGAGAGTAGGACCCTGAGAAATGGGACGTAGGGTGGGGACAATGTGACTAATGGGGAAACAAGGCTTGGTGATCAGGGAAAAGGGGGGAGGGGCAGGCTGGGCAGCTGAGGGTGTGTGCAACATAGTGCTTGCCCCAGGAAGTTTCTCCAGTGGGAGAGATGGGGTAGAAAAACAACTCTTCTCACATCACAGGCTTCTTAGGCTGTGTGTGCACATGGTACATAACAATGTGTAGATACTACAACACTCTGTGTGTGTATCTGATACAGAATTCACTTGGACCCCTTATGAACATGCTACATCTCTGTGGATCTCTATGGATTGTTTATAGTGTGTACATGTACATATGTAAACACACACACACCATATTCACACACACATTTACTCACACTCAGAAGCGGAGATCTTGTAAGTATGATGTGTGAGCTATCTCTTCTCAGCCATCTGGGATTTGGATGCAGCCCAAATCTCGGGGAAAGGACTGGCTTGGGGCAACGTGACTCCTTTCTCTGTTGTCAGTAGACCTTCATTCAGTTCAGGTGACTCTGCAGAAATGGCCAAGGCTTGGGTTATGAAGACTGAGCATGGGCCTTCCTATCTGGATTGGGATTTGGAGATGTAAGTGCCTCCAGCTTTGGAGTTTGGGAGCTTGGAGTGGGGGTAGCTGTAGAGAGAATCTGGCAAGGGGTAGGTTTCTGCTTGTGGAAAAGATGGAAGTCATTTAAAAGCAGCCCCCAGGCTGGGTGCAGGCACCAGCCTCCGAATTCAACTGGCAGAACCTGCCAGCTCTCTGGGGATCTGCTCAGGTTGGTTGGCCTGATGGGGAAGGTTCAGTGGGAAGGGTTAGAGATGGGGAAGGTTCAGGGCTGGAGGAATGGAAAGAGGACTTGTCATTCTTCAATGGCCTTTTCCTATTCTTGGTGCTGAAGAAAGATTGGGAAGTAAAGAATGAAGGATGTGGATGGTGAGGAGGGGCAAAGGAGGGAAGACAGACACTAGAAGGGCTTCTCAACCCTAGTCTCCCATTAGAATCATCTGGTGACTTTTTAAAAACGCCAGTGCCAGGCTCTACCCCCAGAGAGTCTACTGTAATGAGCTGGGGAGGGGACCAGGAATGTTTTGGGTTTGTTTTTTTTTTTTTTGTAAGCTCCTCAGGTGTCTTTAATGTGCATGTGGCATTAGTTAAGAAGACAGCACCAGAACAGAAAGAGAAGTCTAGGTCTCAGATGATCAGGCTGGAGCTGACTGGCCAAGCCCCACCATGCACACGAAGGAGAAGGGGAGGACTGGTGTGAGGGTCGCAGGGTATGGGGAGGATTCTTAGAGCTTCTATCTGAACAGTCAAGCCTCTGCTGATGTGAGTGGCTTTATAGTCTCACTAGCTGGTGGTTTCTAACCTCATTTCTGGTTGAAAATCTGTTTGAGGTGGAGGTGTTTGGGCACAGGGAGAGAACCTTCCCCCCCTTATTTTCTGTGACTTCAAAGGGGAAAAATTCATTGTGTCCTATGGGGCCAAGAAGACAAATTCTGGGGCTGGATGCTTCAAAGATGGGAATGAATTTTCTGCTGTATAATAAATACATACTTCATAAATCGGTCAATCAATCAGCAAGGCAATAAATAATGTACACCATTCTTGCCCTCTTAGGGTGGTTCTCCCCTCACCCCATTGGTCCTAGTGACCGACCCTTTGCCATTGGTCACCTGAAGGCACCCAGCTTGGCCATGTAGGGGAAATAGAACAGCTTTGGCCTTGGCTTTCCAAGGATCAGAGAAATCTAGAGAGAGTATTAACATTGGCTACCCACATGAAGAAGGGAGAAAGAGGGGAGATGTGTTTTCCCTTTGTTTCCCACCTGGAAGTGTAGGGAAGGAAGGCAGGTTTTGGGAACCAATGCTGGAACATTTTAGATACCTGAAGTCCAAGCTGACCAGCTCTTCATTCCAGCTTCACTTAGTGGATTTGAGATCTGGAGGGACCCACTCTTTCCACAAAAGAGATACAACAGGCACAACTCCCACCTCAACACAGCTCCCCAGGAGCCAAACAGCCAGCCCAGCCAGCCCAGCGAGCCCACAGGGAGAGCTGCATGGCACACGGTGGGATGGGAGCGGGTACAGGTCATGGGTTGAGGGGATGGGAGGATGGCGAGGAAACAAGTAGGATGGCACCCATGTTAGTGGGAAATCAGCTATCCAGGGCTTCAGCTTCTGGAGTTCCCAGCCACTGCTCTTTTCCTCTTTAGTCTCTGCCATGTGGTTCTGCTCCTGGGTGTGCCTTGTCCTACTAGGTGACCTGTATGTGGACATGGAGACATGTAAATAAAACGGGCATTAAGGCAGTGACCAAAGAATGTCATTCCATAAAATCAGATGTTCAAAATCTGGGCTCCATACATAGATTGCAAGGGGACAATGACCCTGAAATTTTATGCAAAATTGTAAGTAGCTTATTTCCATATGCTTTGCTCTATCAAGATGGTCTATAGCATTTGTGAGTTTCTTAAAAAAGGATTAAAAGCTAAAATAATGTTAAGGGATTCTAGATTGTCTATGGATGTATCTCATCAGCAAGGCACAAAAAGATCTACAGAAATGGGTGGGAATTCCAGATGCCCCACCCCACCCCCATGGCCTCGTTTCTCAGCATCCAAAGGCACAAGGTGATTTGCAAGAACCAGAATCCCTGTGGCTTACCCAGTATTCCTGTGCATGACGCATACTCCAACTGTGCTAAAACTTCTTGAATGTGAGTCTATGTTATTCAATTTGAAGTTGTCAATCAGTTTCTCGTTAAAAAAGAAAAATTGTTTCCACTATTTTTTGGTGTGGCTACTTGTATATATTGCTTTATGTAAGAGCTGTGGTCCTAAAGAAGAAGTAGGTGAACTGAATTTTTAAAATAAAAAGGATATATTTGAATGTACAAAAAAAAGTTGCTCTCAGGAGCAACTCATTGAGGAGCAAAGGAAGCATTGGACATCTTCCTCTTTCTTCTCTGATCATGTTCTTTATGTTTTGTATCATTGGATTGTTGATATACTGGGTTTGCTTACAGGGATGTACTGCTGTGATGACACAATGAGTTTTTAAATTACAAATGAACACTGTTGCATTTTCAGGTTGTATGCATAGTTTCAGTTTCAGAAAGTAAACCGATCCAAAATTCTTACACAGATGGTCAAATAAACTCACTCCAGTTGTTTGAAGTTTGCAGACAACCCCATGATACATACAAATGGGGACTTGATAACCTAGAAGCCATTCTAGAAACTGTCCCTCCATACACCCTGTGCTCTGGAGTAGCTGTCATACTCTATTATCAGTGAATGCCAGTTCTCCTTCCTGCCACGAGCGACTGGTCAGAGGCACTGATTGTGCTAGGCTCTGCCAGCCCTTTGATGTCTCGCATGGCACAGAGTGAGACATGATGGGTGATGGGGTGGGGAACCATGTGAACACACGTGGGCAGAGGTTTTGAGACAAACTCACAGAGTCAGTCTGCTGCTCATGGACCACACTGAAGAGATGCCCATGTGCAAAAGTCACATCGTCATGATGACTGCTTTCCATGACCATTATATTCATTATCATATTATTCACATTGTATTAATTCTACAATAAGGGTGCCTTTGGGTTGGCGTAATTTTTGTACAGAAAATATTTTAACTGCATGGTTGAGTTCCATCTCTCAGTTTCCCCAGGGCAAAGCAGGAGAAGTTCAGAGCCCTCTGTCAATGTGCCCTCACAAGCCTAAAAACTTTAAGGGGGTGACCGTGACTCTAAGAACAGGTCTTCTTCCCATTTCACAGATGGAGTGAGTGACCTGCAGAGTAGGTGACCTGCAGAAGAGGACCTGCATGATAGTCAATTCAAAATTAAGCTTCCGGGGGTCTCAGAGTTCCTGGTTCATGAGACCATCCTGAGCATTCGAAAGAAGCTTGGGAAATATCTCCTTTACTGAAGAGGAAAAGACAAGATTGTTCCGGCTGCAGAAAGTTCGGAATCCGACTGAGTTGAGAGCTGTGTATCCTGTCACAACAAATTCCCTATTTCCTTTCTGATAAACGTGCCCAAAGAAGGCATTGCTTGCTGTTTGATTCTGTGAGTGGCTCTTAGGAGCAGGTATCTTCTTGCTGTTTCAGAAGACACACGGAATTCTTTAGGTGAGCGAGTGGGTGAGTCTTTCGTCCCTGATCTCTCTGTGTGTGTGTGTGTAAGACTGTGTGTGGACGCATGCACTCTGTGCATGAAGCGGTACGTGGGGTAGTGCCTCAGTCTTTGTTCATCTGATATGCATATGCAGAGATCTTCTTTCTTTCCTAATTAATTAGAAGTAATAGCTTTCTATAGTTTCTGGTACGTGAGGGAGTGAAGTGGGAAGTAATCTAATTGGCTGCCTTGCTTTCGGAGCCCAGTTTAATGAAATAGTTCTCAGCTTGAAGTGCATGTATTATCTTTCCTGTTATTTTTCCAATTAACATTTCATTGGATCACGTCTGTGTGGAATATTCTAATTGGTTTGAAGGGTGGGGGTGACGGGATGAGAGCAGATGGGGAGATAACCAGCTGCTTCTTTCACCATCAGAGCCTGTGTGTGTCCTGATGTGGCTGTAGGTTTTCCCCGGCGCCTTTCCTGGGAAGAGCTCAAAGAGCTTGACAGAGTGCCACCTTGTCCCCTTAGCCAACCTCACGGAGCCCTTGGGCCAGAAACGCAACGTCCCCTCACAGGCAGACTGAGGGAGTACTTGCCAAGGTTCTGGGGTTCCTGGCGATGTGTGACCCCAAAGGGGAAAACGAGCGGCTCCCAGAGTTTCCTGTGAGCATCACGTACCTGCAGACTCTGGAACATAGCAGACACCCCTGTACATACTTGTTGAAAGACTGAGTGCCCAGAGAGGTCGCACAATACCCTCCCACACCTGCCCTTCTTGTGAAGAGAACGATGCACAGAGGATGGTATGAAGCAGGGCTGGGGCTGGGGTGAGGCAAGCCAGGCACCTAGGGCAGATCCTGAAGGGGGCTCCCCCACTGCCCAGCAGGTGCAGAAGCAGTGTTTGCAAACAGGAGTGAGTGCCTTCTTAGAGTTTCCAGCCAGACATCCTGATTGGTTCACACTAGCTCTGGGCCTGGCCTGAGGCAAAGCATCCCATCCTCCTTTCTGACTCCTCCCCGTTCCCAGTGATGCCAAGTCTCAGCCAGTCCGAGGCCAGCCCCACACTCAGCTCACCTCTCCATTCAAACGCTTCCTGTGCCCGTCAGAGCCCCTCACGCTCCCCAGGGAAGTCTGTGTGCAGCTAGGCCACTGCTCTCTGTCTTGGCCCTCTCCCCTCATTGCTGTAATTCAGATGCCTCTTTTCCCTTCTCTCAGGCATTATTGCACCCAGCATTCAGCTGTTTTATGGGTCAGGTCACGTTTTCTGGGTTAGCCAAGGACAAATGGGAGCCTGGAGGCAGACAGTCTCCTTTGCACGGCCACATGGCCTGCTGCCCTGAAGCCTGGCTTCATGCTTGTCTTGGTGAGAAGAGCTAGCAGGTTCTCTTCAGGGAACCACTCTCCAGTTGGGCCAAATTGCCTCTCTGCAGAGAGCCTGTGGCTAGGACCCAGCTGGGAAGAAGGCACAGATTGGGGTGTGAGAGCAGGGGGCCTTGAGAGTAGCCCTGAAGCAAGCTGTGTGGCTGGTCCAGGCGGGGCCAGGTGGAATGGCGCCACAGCAGGCAAGGCAGGCAGAGAGAGGGGCCATAGCCAAACACGCCTCTAGGGTGCTGAGACAGCCTGGGGGTGGAAGGCAGCGTGGGAAGACATATTTCTTCTTTTTATGTGCACCCGCATGACCAAATATGTAATGTTTCCTACAAACTGTGGAGTCCCAGCCAAGATCCGGGGCATCAGAAACTGTGTAGGGGCAGACAGGTTAGTGGAGACCCACATAAAGGTGTATACATGCATCATAATTATTATTACTTTCCCCACTGTCTCTCTGGCCTGAGCCCATGACAGGAAAAATGTAGCTGTCCCCGGCTGGCTTCTACAGCAGGCTTAAACTAGGCAAATCGTGCTGGGATTTCAAGTCTGGCCCAGATCTGATCAGCCTCTTTTCCTTTCCAAAAGGCCTCTTGGAGTTCCAGCTATAAATTCTGCCCAGGGCTACTTTCTAAAGGACTATGCAGTGGTCTCCTTTCTTTTCTTAACTGCCAGGGCCCAGGCCTCTCCATCAGGGTGTCTAGGGGCAGAGGGAGCTCAAAGCCCCCACCCTCTCCATTGGCAGGGAGAGTGGGTTTCCCTGAGAAGTCGATGGGGCTTGAGGACCTGCAACTAGCCCTGGGCCCCATGGTTCTACTGACATGACAATACCTTGTATCAGGTGGCACTTTAGACATTTTGGAGTATTTCCAGGCATCATCCTACTGTGCCTTCCTGACTGATGTTGGCTGGCTGTATTAGCAGCTCAGATAACAAAGGAGGAAACTGAGGCTAAGATGAATTACATGATTTGCTAAAAGTCTAGTCCTCCAGCTGGGTTTAGAAGATACCAAGTCAGGCTGAGGTCCTGGGCTCTGGCCTGCTACCTCAGAGCACACAAATGGGCCTCCCTTCCAATGTGGAAGAGAAGAGAAATCACCCGAAGTCACAGAGCCTGAGATGGCAGAACCCAGACTCTGCAGGAGAACTTGATCTGTGCATCCAGAGATTGGCGAGAAAAGACTCTCTTTCCTAGTTGGTCAGCCCTGCCCACAGAACAGCAGTGGCCGGACAGGCAGAGAAGGACGCCTGCATTTATCTCACTTGGGAGAAAGTGCTCCGTGAGAATGGAGTAAAGGTGTGGAGCCAGAAGACTGAAACTCAAGTCCTCAGAGCACCCCTGATATTAGCGTGACCTTGGACAGATCACTTGACCTTCAAAATCCCTCATCTATAAAATGGCGATATAAAGCAGGTCTTATAGGATTGCTGAGAATGAAATGACCAAATATTTATGTCTGTGCTATGCAAACCACAACATACTAATCAAATGGGAGTTATTATTAATAACAGTAAGAACAGAAAGATTGGACTGATACTAAGATTTTCTATCTTGAATAGAGGTGTTTTCTACTCTATGAAAAGGAAAATAAAAACCCTCTGCAAACTGTGAAGCACTGGACATCTCAAAAGAATTGTTAGGAGGACTGAGGTTAGTTAGTGATGGGTTAGTTAGTGGGGGAAGCGTGGCTGCCCACGGTGAGCAGCGGCACTCCATCTCCCCAGATGCATTTCTGTAAAAGAGTTAAGGATGGCCAGATAACCTTGGCTGTCCTCTGGCCACTGAGCTGGCAACTCTACTGAAGGCCTTCCATAGGCAGATGTCCCACCAGGGAAACTGGAACCGGATGTACTCAAGATCTCAAAAGAAATTAATGGCAATAAGACTCTGGGGTAAAAATATCTATGTGCACTGAGCTTGCTCGCTCTGCTCCCTTTCTATCTAAGGATCATTTAGGCTTAATTATAGAGTTCAGGCATTCATTGGGTTTTTGATTAATTTTCTTTTCAGCTTGAAGCGTGTGTGAGTGTAGTGGGTCTGTGAGTGTGTGTGTTTACATCTTTCTTTGCAGTTCCATTGGGAGCTGGCTCTAGCAATGTTTAATTGTGCCCTCAGTTTTAACAAGAACGTCCAATGTGCCAACTGGAGCTTGGAAAGCCATTGTTTCCAGTGCTTCCGCCCCACGGGCTGCTCCTGCCGCACTGAAGGACGGCGGGTGGCGGGGCCTCGCTCAGCTGGGACCTTAGCTGCGGGGTGCATGCATGCTTTCCTCCTCCTTTTGTGCTTATGGTGTTTCAGGGAGTCTGAGACCAGGAGAGCAGATTTCCCACTCCACTAATTACCAGTACTGTGCTGAGAGCTGCCGAGTGACAGACAGCTCACCCACACTGAAGCCCCTGACAGGCTTTTTTTTTTTTTTCTGGGCAAATCTCCCTGGGGATTACATGGTTTTCTGCATAAAAAAATGGTGTTCGTTCTCTTGTTTTTAATATGCCTACTTAGTAGATTGGTAAGGACTACATGACTGTGTAGGTGATAGTCACTTGCTTTCCCCTTCTCTTTTGTGCAGGGGACAACTGGGGAGGCACCACAGTATAGTGTATTAACACAGGATTCGGGGCCTAGCGGCTCAGTTTGAATGCTAACTCCTGACATTTTCTATTTGTGTGCCTAAGGGTAAGTCACTTAACCCCTTAGGATCTCAATTTATTGTCCGTAAAAACCGGGGATAATAATAGTAGTATCAACAGTAATTACACTCATAAGACTGTCTGGGGATGAGAAAATGCATGCAGAAGCCTTTTGTAAAATACCCCATAAATTATAGTTCTTTTATTTTACTGCTCAGAATCGCTGCTGAGAACATGTTTTTTGACCTGTGAGCCATTCCTAGCACCAAGGAAGGGCGAATTGCAAGAAGACCCATGGAATGAGAGGCAGAGGAGGAGCTAGCCTCCGACCTCCCCAGGTGCTGTGGGCCAAAGCAATGACCTGGGGATGTAGAATGCTGCACAGGGTCCAGATTACGAGTTTCATCTCAAAACAGCTGACACAGATAAAAGGGAATCAGGAACAGTCTTTTTTTTTTTTTTTTTGGACATAACCATAAGAAGGATTTCCCCCTACAATTTAAAGAATGGATTCAATTGTCTCTACTGCTAAGAGGGTGAACGGCTCAAGGACTGGTGACAGTGTTTTGGCTAGAGACAAGGGGAGAACTCTGGGTTTCAGGTAAGTGTGACCATGCCGTGAGGTGAGATATGGGAGACCGAAGGTCTTCTCTTGGCTCTGCTGCTAATTGTGATCCTACTAATTATGTGACCCTGAATAGATGAGCTAATAAACCTCAATTTCCTTGAGATCATGGAATAGAAAATCTCAAAGGTGACTAAAGAATCTACGACCTGATGAAATGCTCTTTTCCACACAGGAATTAAAAACTCTTGTGCAACCAAGAAACGGCTGTGTGCATGTGTGTTTAGAATCTAAACATAGTCTGAAGGCCACCCAGCTAAAACCTAATCAAGGCACTACACGAGCCCCTTTAAAGTGATGGCATCTGGTGGGCAGACCCAGGGGCTGTCAGGGGAAGAAAGGCCTGATGGGAGGATGGAGCTGACCCCAACAGAGATTTCAAGGTAAATCCTCTCTTGTTGGAGAGTCTTTCATTTGGCAATATCCTGACTAAGCTGAAAGGTAATGATCTAAGGGTGATAGAAAGAAAAGGGATCTTTTCCTTGTAAAGCAACTATAACTTTAAAATGATAGGCTGGAGGGCAATAGAGCATTCTGCCAGACTGATTCCAGAACTGAGACACCCAACTATAGAGTTCTCAACAGTATCACCGACAATAATCATAACATATATTTGCACAGTGCGTTTAGCTTTTATGAGCACTTTCCCATCTATTTTTCTCCTTTTTGTCATTATTACATGATTTTCCAGAAAACTGGCCTGGGGTCATTTCTCTTAAAACTCTGGAAAGTGTGAGTTTTCAATGGGAACAAATCTAGCTAAGTATGTAGCACCTTGCTTTATAAACACAGGTATGTCCTCGAAAAAGTTATGCTATATGTAAATATATAATTGTGTAAGCCATATCTTATTTTAATGGGTAGAAACCTTGTGTAGGATTTTGTAATGTAAAAAATCATTTTTCTTTAGTCTTTTGTTTGTTATTATTTTAGATTTTTAAGTATCATGTTGTCTTAAAGTAGGACCACATGGATTAGAGTCCAGGATCAGTATCCACACTCCAGAATTCCACAAGGGTGGCATTTAATTCAATCACAGAGAGAGACTGCTGTTTCCTACGTCAGCATGGAAAAAAAGCAATTTTATATTTAAACTGGGGAGCTCTTCAGGGCTACCTCTCCCATAAAAAACAAGGAAGCATGGGAAAAGACAGAGGAATTCAAATGTAACAGCTGAATTATTTCTAAATGGAATGTCTCCAGGTCTTCTGTGAGTCACCGATGTGTCATTAATGTGCTGTTATAAATAGCTCAGCTTGCCATCAATAACTAATCTATAAGAGAGTAGCTGGTGGCTGGGGTGTGAGGTTAACACTCCATAATTTAGAGTGGATGTGTTAATCCTCTCATGTAAATAAGCACCATCCCCTGGGACTAGAACCTGAAATATACTAAACTAAATTGAATTTTTAATAGAAGTAGTAAGCAAGTCCTCCTGCTTTTCCTTCTCCATCTTCAAACTCTGACAAAAGACAGATCATTGGAGCCAACCATGGGATTTTAGTAATTATACTGAACCTCAACTCTCTCACCTCTGAAATTAGGCTGGCCCATAAAATCCACAATGATATTGTGAGAATTTATAATTATTTTGCATGGGGGGTTTTGAACAAGGAAGTATCTATCTATCTATCTATCTATCTATCTATCTATCTATCTACGTAGCTATCTATCTCAATTAGCTCTATCAAGAATAAAATAAAAAGCTCTGTGGTGATTTAACCCAGAAGAGCTGGAAAAATCCTTATTGTAAAGACTGGGAACTTTAAAAGTTTTATACTGGCCTGACTAAAGGAAATATGGTCTCTCATCTTTATTGATTGGATCTCAGCAATACAGTTTTGCTTAATGTGAGTAGCTCAGAATTTCATTAAGTGCTCTGAAGTTAAGCTTTATGAAGCACTTTCTCACAAATTCTTAAGCACTTAAAGTTGAACTTCTGTGAAACTGAGCTAAAGTAAACATATAGATACACAGTGTGGATACTGTGTATACATAAAGGTTATAAGCACACATGCAGGTATTGCTGGCAAATCTGCTAGTAATTATGCTACATATATCCTGGCCTGTGTGCTTGCATGTGTGAATGTGTGTGTGCATAATTGCACACATGTGTGCATTCTGTGTGTTCAAATAATTCAGAAACTAAAAACCCCCAAAGAATAAAAATACTATTCTTACTTGTTGAAATATCCTTGAAACTCAACATGGGTTCATGGCTTATAAACAATTATCTTTTTGCAAATTTAGGGCTCGTAGTGGAAACAGAACAGGCAGCAGTAAACAAAAACACAATTCAGGCTTCACTAAAAACATAGTGAAAGCCCCAAATATGACAGCTACTGCAGAATACAGAAACTATCTATCCAAATACTGTGACTGAGGATATTTTGAACAATCAGTTTGAAAGAGGTGGGTAGATGGGACCACTGAGAGTCACCATCGGTTAGAACCACCGTCAGCACCTTGGACAGTTCCTAGGAGGCTCTCCCTCAGAATGGAGCCCATATTTCTGACTCCATTTTTCTAAGTGTTTCTTTCATTCCAACGAATGTGTTGACGATCTGATGATTAACTAATACATGAACAGGTATATTTTGCAGTAACAAATTATTCCTTCCTCTTTCCATTGCCCATTCTCTTCACCACCTGTCTTTCATTCCACCCCTTTCCCCGGCACCCTCCAGTCGGACAGTGGGACCGTCTGTCTTACAAACACCTGATGCAGATGTTTTCACTCCTGCTTCTAATTGGTTCGGAAGCAGCATTTCCCACAGGCACTGTTTAATTTCGTTTCCATCCCCTGCATCTCACAGGAAAGAAATGGTCAATAGTTCAGATAAAAGAATCATCCTGGTCAGCTCCAAAATATGGCTACTTGCATGGTAATCACAGCAAGTCTGTCAAATCAGTGATTTCTTTATTCCTAAAAGGGAGGGACTTTTCCTAAGGATAATGGTTCTACCACCCAAGGAGCAGCCCTACTCTTCACAAGCGGCTGCAAAGGCTGGCAAACCGCGAGGTCTGCTTTGGCTCAGAAACTCAGTTTGGCTCCTGCCACCCCCTGGCAACCTCACTGCATGTCTCAGTGGCATGTGCTCCACACACAGTCAGGCCAGTCTGTTTCTACTTAGGAGGGATCACAACCAGAGGTGGCCCCCGCTTGGGCCTCCACATGAGGACCTGGGCATCGTTGGCATTGGGTTTCACTAGTGCATTTGGGGGGATGGGCTCCATCCGGCTCAGGATTCGGGGCTGCTCCTGCTGAGTCCTGCCCACCAGCCGGGCCCGTTGCCCCAAGAGCTGAAGGGGGTCCACCTCAATGTCCACCCTCATCCTCCACTTGATGGTCTGCAGAATGATCTTCTCTTTCGTGGTGGTGTTCATGGCCACTAGCCAGGTAGTGAAACTTTGGTCCCTCTTGATCCTCGTGAGCAGCGGCACATTGCTGTCACTTACTGGCACTGCCCACGTCACACTGGGGTAGAAATTGTCATTCATGCTGACGGAGAACCTGGAGATCTTGTTGGTGGGGCCAACCAGGGTCACAGTTTCTGTGGTGTTCCCGTACCAAGGGTAGCTCACCCCATCTGAGTCACTGATGGCTTTTACTCTCCCTTCCCTCAAGTCAGGCAGTTCCCAGCTTGACCTGGCAAAGCAGAAGAGATGCACAAGAAAAGAAGAGGCTGAATGAATTTTTCAAAAGCTGGAGGGGTGCCCACCATTTACTAACACGGTCAACTTGGGCAAAATGGGAAGTTCAGAGGGGAATTCAGGTCAAAATGTATACGCTGTGCTGTTTCAGGATTAAATGAGAACAAATCAGAACGAAACAACAACAACAAACCAATACCAAAACAAGTTAAATTAAATCATAGCTGGTCCAACTGGAAGCAAAAAGCTCAAAGAGGCATTTGTGAGACCCACAAAGAGGCATCAACTAGTTGGAATGGTGCAACTGAAATGAACTATTTAGAGGCATTCATTTACAAGAACCACTTTCTCAGGAAGTATGAATGTGCATAAGGTTTGTTAAGAAAAGGCAGTGGTTGAAATTTGATGTATTTGGAAGGAAGCATCAGTTGGAAAGGAGGGCAAAAGGAGGTAAAGTTAAAGGTTATACTGATTTCCTAGGAAATCCCAGTAGTAGAACTCCTACTCAACAAGAGGTTTGTTTGTATTCCAGTCATTGGCCAAATCAGGACTTAGAAAACATAGGCATAGAAACTGATAACACAGGAAGATAATGATCACCGCTGGGAAGCCACCTCAATGTGCAAATTGTGCCATAGGCTGCCATACATAGTCTCTAACATGCTGTTCTCCCATATTTGTGTCCTGCCTGGAAATCTAATTGCTTAGTGTAGCAAACTTGCCATTCTGGGCACTCTGTTACTGCTACTCCACGTGCCCTAATCTTAGTTCATGTCTTTCCCCCATTGCCATGGACCACTGATCCTCCTCATCATCATTCTTATAGGTGATGCTTATTGCTCTATTCCAACCACGGTGTTAAGTACTTTAATTATGTTATCTCAGTTAATGCTCAAAATGTCCCACAAAATAAACACATTTTTATTTCCATTTACACAAGAGAGTACAGAGGCTTAAAGATGTTAAGTTATACATTGAGGGTTCTACAGATTGTTAAGAGATGGAGCTGGAATGTTCACCAGGAGAACCCTGGTTTCATCCATTGCTTTGACTTATGCCACTGCTCTACTGGAAATCCCTCAAGTCTGAGGCACGTTTTCTTCCACAGCCACAGACACCACAGGTCTGTATCATTAAGGGAGGGTTTGATTTTGGAAGCAGCCAAAATTCATTATGACTTAAGCCTAGTGAATAGGGAGTAGGTTTCTGTTTGAAAATTTGCTTATTTTTATTTCTTCTATGTAAAAGGAGTATCAATGTGCATTTCAAGGTAGTGGCTCTTTTAGTTTTTATTTTTGCAAAAAGAGTTATGCTTATAAACTGAATGATTGGTTTATGTGGCTGATTTATCAGCTTTGATAGTAGTTTTCAAAGAAATCCCACGATATGATAGCACCATTGGAATCACTCTATGACCATTTAAGAGGACTACTTTGAATGGGATACTGGAGGCACTTCAAATTCCACATAGCCCGAACCAAACTCACCATCTCTGCCATAAACTTGGCCCTTTCCCCGTCTCTGCTGCAGGTGTTGGCCCACTTCTCACCCAGTCTGACAGGCCAGAAGTGAGGGTCAACTTCAGCTCTTCCTCTGCCCTCTCCTAGACTGCAACAGCTATTCTGTTACTGCATCCTGTGAATTTTGCCCCCTAAGTGATGCTTGAATTTACTTCCATTTCTCCATCCAATTCTCACTGCCCTCGTTTAATCCAAGCCCTTAGTATTTCCTACCTGGTCAACTATGATGGTCCATAACTAGTCTCTTGGCATCCAACCCTGTTCCCTCTCAAATTCATCTTTTAGGCTGCACTGGTGTTCAAATATGATTATGTCCTTCCTATAACTAAAACCTTTCAAAGGCTACTTTACATGGACATCTCTGGTATTACCTACAGGATAAAATTCAAGATCTTAATAGGACATATGTGGGCCTCTGTGGTCTGGCCATCCTGTCCGCAAACACCATGCTGTTTCTCACCTCTGCCCCTTTGCTCATACTGTGCCCTCTGCCTGCACTGCTCTTTCTTCTCCCACTGTCTCACTCAAACTACTCAAACTTTGAGCATCATTGCATGCATCACCTCCTTCAGAAAACCTTCTCTTCTGTGCTCCCACGCATATATCCAAACCTTTATATATTCCAGATTATAACTATCTGTTTATGTGTCTGTCTTCCCCACTAGATTACAATTTCCTTCAGGCTTGGGGTTTTGAGGTTTTTTTGGGGGGTGTGGTAATTAGGTTTATTTATTTATTTATTTTTGGAGGAGGTACTGGGGATTGAACCCAGGACCCTGTGTATGCTAAGCATGCACCCTACCACTTGAGCTATACCCTTCCCCCTTGTGAGTTCTTATTTTAATCCTTAGTGTCTAGCACATTATTGGCACATAGTAGACCTCAATGAATCTTTGTTGAAGGAATAAAATAAATGTTTATTTGAATTGTTTTCATTCCTATATACCTGGAGCTTGGTAGGGCTTGCATACAACAAAGCACTTTGTCACAGTTTTACACTTCATATACTCACTCACTTAAAATAAAAAACCTCACATTGACTATTCATTTAGGATCTATTATTAGATTAGCATTATTATTAACACTGAAACTTACATTATTTATTCTGGAAGGGGAAGTGGACAATTCACATATAAATAAAAATGAAGGAATTGGTGAATATATATGTATTTAGTGACTATTCATGCTATCATATATCCACATATAAAAACGAGTGACACACTACAAGTGATACAGGAAGCCAGAGACCGACATTCATGTAAGGCCATGTTAGTGGGAAAGCTCTGTGGAGGAAATGAGGTGTGGAGTGTTGGGATTAAAGGGAGGCACTCCTAGGTGGGAGGTTCTGTCCCAGACAAACATGTGACATCAAGCATGAACACAGAGGGATCCCCTGGATGGGGAATCTGACTTCATGGCTGTGAGTACCATCTATGCTCTGATGGCTTCCAAGTTCCTACTTCCAGCCCTGAGCTCCAGATCCATATACCCAACTGCCCACTTGCCAACAACTTTATTAGAGTTACTCTTGCACACTCTCTTGCATTCCACGTACTTGCTATCAGCAAATATTGTTGATGCCACCAAGATATATCTAGAATTCAACTCCTTCTCATCACCTCTATCACCACTACCCTAGACCAAGCTAGAGTTCTCTGTCCTGGATTAACTCAATAGCCTCCTAACTGGTCTCCTTGCTAACACCTCCACTCTGCTGCCCTAGTCTATTTTCAGTATGGCAGCCACAGTGATCTTGTTAGACATATGTGCAGTTGTCACTCCTCTGCTCAACATGTTTCCACAGCTCCTAAACTACTCAGAAAAAGCCCAAGTCCTTAAAAAGACCTAAATGGCCTTACAAAACCTGCCTCTCCATTTCCTCTCTGACCTCATCTGCTTCCCTCTCCTTCTTGCTCATTCTGGCTTCTGTGCTGTTCACTGAGCATGTTAGGCAAACCCCCACCTCAGGGCCTTTTCACTTACTGTTCATTTCATCTGAAGTATTCTTCCCTCAGGATCCAAAAAGCTTGCTTCCTTGCCTCTGTCATTCCCTGCTCAAATATTACATTCTCAGTGCAATTTTTCCTGACAGCCATATTTAAAATCGCAACTTTCCGCCCCAGCCTTCCCCATCTCGGCTTTATTTATCTCTATCGCACTGTCAAATATACTACGTAACTTATTTACTTTGCTAATGGTCTATCTCTCCTCATCCCACTCCCTAAATGTAACCCAAAAGAAGGCAGGGACTTCCTATGTTTTATTCACTGCCATCCCTCCAGTACCTGGAACAGTGCCTGGCACACAGAAGGAATTCAAAATTATTTGTTGACTGAATAAGCACTGAACTGATCTGAAGTGGGAGGAGACTATGAATTTCAGGTGGGATGCTGATGCTTCTGTGAAGTTGCAAAGTTTGGTCTAGAGCTTAGGAGAAAGTCAGGGCTAGAGATTTAAATTTGGCAACTCTCTGCATGGAGAAGATCAGTCAAGGTAATGGTGATGAGCGAGGTCTCTGGGGATGAAAGAGAGATCTTAGGGGGTTTGTCTAGATGACCAGGAGACAAGGGGGAGTCTGAAAAGCAGAATAGCCAATGCAAAGGGGGAGAACTTGTTTCCAAACCCAAGAGAAGTTCAGGGAGTCATCAGTGTCAAAAGCTACGTAATGGAAGAGAGTGGGGTTAAGAAAAAGCCATTTGATTTACTATCAAGAGGGCAGTAAAGATATGCTGGTGGAGGCCATTGGCTAAAGGGTGATGGAGAGAATGAACAAACACAAGAAAACATGGAGAATTCAGGTCGTTCCTTCAAGAAGCTGGGCAATGAAGGGGAGAAGAGAGATGAAGTAGGGAGCTGATCAGGCCAAGTGGCCGAAGGCAGGATTTCTGCAGCCAGACTGCCGAGGCTTGTAAACCTGGTGCTACCACTGACTTGCCACCACTTACTCGCCCTTTCTATACTAGTTTCCCCATCTGTCAAATAGGCATAATGACAGGGCTTGATGTATTTGGTGTGCGAATTAAGTAAGAGGATGAAGGGAAGTATTTAGGACAGCGTGTGACACAAAGTAAGAGACACTGAAGTTTAGGTACCAATAAGGAACAGAGATGGGGCAGGATTAGAGAGAAAGGAGGTGAACAGTCACCAAACCCTTCCGTGTGCAAGCACCTGACAAGAGTAATCATGTGAGGCAGGGATTCTTGGACACTGTTCATACACAGGGAAAAGTGAACGATGCAAAGTCATATAGATGGGAAGGGGTGGTGCCAGGATTTAAAGCCAAATTTCCCTGACCCCCAAGCCCTGCCTTTTCTACTGCACCACACTTATGGGAAGGGCTCCTTTGAGTTCTAAGTCTCAACCCTCCTCCCTTGAAGTCTTTGGCGTGGCAAATGGAGGAAGCACTGAGACTGCCTCAGGAGGTTTGGATGTCAGTCCCAAGGTAACAGCTGGCTGACCTCAGGCAAGTCACTCC